CAATCCATACTTCCAGGGGCGTAGCTACCATTATTGAAAAGCCAGGGCTTACATATGATTGTTGCTAAAAAGGTTGGGCAAGCCCTCACTACTATTTAAGTATAAAACTATCGGGCTTACACGAAAACATTGGCTTGCTCGCTCCTGACTACCACCTCGCTCACCCTTGATCATCAGCATCACCGACCTCAGAATTTGGTCTCGCCATCAACAGCATGATTCACCATCACCAACATCGTCCGCTACAACCTTCAACCATTTACGACTTCAACGCTTCACATCATAACCCTTCAACACCAACAATCCCAGCAACCACCACAACCACGAATCAACATGAGCATCAATCCCTACCATCATCAGCCACCAACATGAGCATCAATCCCTACCATCATCAACATCCAAAATGAGCATCAATCCCTGCCATCATCAACCACCAACATGAGCATCAATCCCTACCATCATCAACATCGAAGATGAGCATCAATCCCTACCATCATCAGCCACCAACATGAGCATCAATCCCTACCATCATCAACCACCAACATGAGCATCAATCCCTGCCATAATCAACCACCAAAATGAGCATCAATCCCTGCCATCCTCATCCACCAATATGAGCATCAATCCCTGCCATCATCAACCACCAACATGAGCATCAATCCCTGCCATAATCAACCACCAAAATGAGCATCAATCCCTGCCATCCTCATCCACCAATATGAGCATCAATCCCTGCCATCATCAACCACCAACATGAGCATCAATCCCTTCCATCATCAACATTCAAGATGAGCATCAATCCCTGCCATCATCAACATCCAAGATGAGCATCAATCCATACCATCATCAACCACCAACATGAGCATCAATCCCTTCCATCATCAACCACCAACATGAGCATCAATCCCTTCCATCATCAACCACCAACATGAGCATCAATCCATACCATCATCAACCACCAACATGAGCATCAATCCATACCATCATCAACCACCAGCATGAGCATCAATCCATACCATCATCAACCACCAACATGAGCATCAATCCAAACCATCATCAACCACCAACATGAGCATCAATCCCTTCCATCATCAACCACCAACATGAGCATCAATCCCTTCCATCATCAACCACCAACATGAGCATCAATCCCTTCCATCATCAACCACCAAGATGAGCATCAATCCCTTCCATCATCAACCACCAACATGAGCATCAATCCTGCCATCATCAACCACCAACATGAGCATCAATCCCTTCCATCATCAACCACCAACATGAGCATCAATCCTTCCATCATCAGCCACCAACATGAGCATCAATCCTTCCATCATCAACCACCAACATGAGCATCAATCCCTTCCATCATCAACCACCAACATGAGCATCAATCCCTTCCATCATCAACCACCAACATGAGCATCAATCCTTCCATCATCAACCACCAACATGAGCATCAATCCTTCCATCATCAACCACCAACATGAGCATCAATCCTTCCATCATCAACCACCAACATGAGCATCAATCCCTTCCATCATCAACCACCAACATGAGCATCAATCCCTTCCATCATCAACCACCAACATGAGCATCAATCCCTTCCATCATCAACCACCAACATGAGCATCAATCCCTTCCATCATCAACCACCAACATGAGCATCAATCCTTCCATCATCAACCACCAACATGAGCATCAATCCCTTCCATCATCAACCACCAACATGAGCATCAATCCCTTCCATCATCAACCACCAACATGAGCATCAATCCTGCCATCATCAACCACCAACATGAGCATTAATCCCTACCATCACCAACCAATATCAACTTCAATCTGTATATCAACATTAATTGCTACTGCTTCCATCAGCATCAACAACATATGCCACTATCAACATCCAACATCCACAGCATCATGTCGGAATAAGTATGCTGCAGCTTATAGCAGTGGGAAGTTTTGGTAACGGAAATACATGAAACTAAAAAAGAACCAAATAATGAAAACTGCTGTGTAAGCTAAATCCCAAAGTAAACCAGGCAATGCTTCATTACTGAACCAAGCATTACAACTAAAAATATATTGTTCCAACGCGCTAAGAGTACATGCATATTGAAATGGCTCAACCGGTCCACACCTGCTCTCATAAAATATCAAAACACGATTAATTCAACACTGCAACGCCAAACACCGTCGGGTGTGAACTAGTCATGGTACATTTTCTCATTTCCGCTCAATTAAAATACCTTTAAGATCGCTACTAATACCACTCTTTTGGCAACTCGATTACGGTTGGAATGATAATGTTGATGTTTACATACTGGTTTTGCCTTGGTTAATTCGAGTTCAGATCGGTTTGTACTTTGTGCTCTATTTACAAAGGTTAAGAGGTCACAAATATTCACAGGTAATCCTCACCAACAATAGTGGTGTCTGAGGTCAGGTCTTGTCCCAACTCTCACCCGATGTGGTGTGATCGCTGTCTATTTTAACCCACCTCGTACGATATGAAAATAAATGTAGAACCATCTAGGGAATGTAGCGTAACACATATTCTTTGTCAATACTATAAATGCACACCATCTGTCATCTCAAGCTAGTGTCCTTATTGTCCGCCAAGATAGCAGACGACATTCAGGAGTCAGTGACCTTAAGGACTGCGTCTAGCATTTTCCATGTTTTCATGAACAGAATCTAATCTGGGGTACACTTATCGACCGCCAAACCGTACATCAAACGGAGAACGTTTTTTTTTTATTATCGTGTCCCGCGAAATGAACTCTGCGAACTGCTGTCACGTGACCCAAGCCTTCCTCATACTTTCGCATGTTCCTTCTTCACGCTCTGGCAACCTGGGCACCATGACTCCGCCGTCTTTGTTGACGTTTTCCCCTGTAAATATGGAGGTCGCATACTTACAGCGCAAAGCCTATGTTCATGTAGGGATGTTACTTGAGCTAAAAATACGTCTGTCTCGCGCCGACCTCTCGTGTCGAGAGGTCAGTAGACCAGGCTGGTGCATTTGTTGCAGCAAGTCTCGCGCGAGTTTGCTCTGTTTACGCCTGAGAACCCGTGACTCTCATTAATAGCTTACTTAAATGAACCGCGCAGTAGATACATATTTGGTAAACGCACTTAACCGTCATTGTACAAACCTTTCTTTCCTTCTAAGTTTAGACGGTACGAATTTACGACTTGTAGCGCAGCAGGCTTAAGGCAAGAGCGTTTCGGGTTGGGTGGTATCAATTAGACTTTATTTAGCATTACCTGGGATGGTAAACTCTCCTTTGTACCTGTCTGACGTTTGGTTAAGTTAAAAGACCTTCTTCAAGATGCATAATACATTTGGCGTGGGTGGCTGAACACAAATCAGTGTCGTCTTCTATAACAGTCTGACTCACCGCCAATTACACAGATGGTTTATATTCATATTTAAACTTCAAGGCATTCCTCCTCCAAGTCCATGTACATATTTGGTGACAGAGGTTTTCATGAACCAAAGTTAATAGTGTTTTTATCAAGCCATAATCTGAAGATCTTTGTGAAGATTTTATTTCATGCTTTCAAATTATGCAGGCTTTGCGCACAGCGTAGCTTATGGCGGATGCCGTATCTGACAGCGCTATGGTTGGGAACACTCGTGACATGATGATGCAATAGGCTGAAACATGCTCCACATCGCATTTCGCGTATTTCATAGGTTTTTACATGTAAAGACGACATTTTGACAAATTCTATTCAATTTTACTACTACTATTTTACTACTAGCCAGATGTTAACATATTTTAATAGTCGAGATTTCTAAAAGCATTTCTATGAAAAATTGTGTACCAGTTAACTCCACGGTGCTGTAATAATGGATGTTAAAGTGTTGATCAATATTAATGTGATTACATGGTGAACTCTACTACTAATTCTGCTACTACTGCAATTACTACTACTACTACTACTACTACTCTAATTCTGCTACTACTGCAATTACTACTACTACTACTACTATTACTACTACTACTACTACCACCACCACCACCACTGCTGCTACTGTGACTACTGCTGCCCTTCCTGTAGATTCAACTACACAAGTAGCATCCTACTATTACGTCTAGTACGTAGCTGCTAAAGTCTATTTCTATTACTATAACATAAATAACTTATTGGCTCTACGTCAACTACCACATACGACGCACCCTACTACTACATCTACTATCACCTAGCAGCTTACAACTTCAGATGTGCAATGCTACAACGTCTGCTACTGCATAAGTAGCACCACATCACAGCGTTGTCTACTACATCAGCAGCTCTCTACAACTGCGTCTATTACTGTTAAATAAGTAGCTTATTGCTTCTACGCCCGCTAGCAGACAAGACGTACCCACTACTACATCTACTATCACCTGACAGCGTACTGCTACGATGACTACTACTACAAAAGATGCACAATATTACTACATCTTCAACTACATAAGAGGCAACCTACTACTACATCTACTACCCCTATATAAGTAGAATACGACTACTACGTCTTCTTCAACTACCAGGGGCGGTGGGGTAGCCTTGTGGTTAAAACGTCCGCTCGTCAAACCGAAGACCCGGGTTCGATTCCCCACATGGATACAATGTGTGAAGCCCATTTCTGGTGTCCCCCGATGTGATATTGCTGTAATATTGCTAAAAGCTAAACTCACTCACTCTCTTCTACTACAACATAAGTAGCTTCCTACTACTACGTCAACAACTTATATATAGGTAGCAGCTTACTACTACTATTACTACTACTACTACTAGTAGTAGTAGTAGTAGTAGTAGTTGACTTGACTTCATACGTAGCGCCCTGCCGCTGCAGCTGCTACTACTCGACAAGAAGCACCCAGCTACTACACCTGCTGCTACATGTACATGTAGCATTCTACTGCTACGTCTACTACAACGTCATCCCTACAACTACTATAGTTAGCGCCCCAGTCAGTAACCCTGCGTGCCGTTGCACATTTCAGGCCCTCAGGCGGTGGTCGGAGACGGGCAAGGCGATCAGTGGTGCTCTACACGGCAAATCATTACACCACCTGTCTTCATCATGGAAGGTAAGACACCTATATTTCATCCATCTGAATAGTTCAGTGATTCACTTTGCTCTCACTAAGTAATATCAAGGTCGACTGTTATACACCCGTTTTAAAATTCCATCAGCATTCTACCTATGAAGATCCGGGGTAAAATTGATCTTCAGTAACCCATGCTTGTCGTAAGAGGCGACTAACGGGATCGGGTGGTCAGGCTCGCTTACTTGGCTGACACATGTCATCGTATCCCAATTGCGGAGATTGATGCTACTGCTGTTGATCACTGGATTGTCTGGTCCAGACTCGATTATATACAGACCGCCGCCATATAGCTGGAATACTGCTGCGTGCGGCGTAAAACAGCAAATCATACCATCGGTTTACCATCGTAACTTGAATGTTGTTCATCGCACCAACCACTTGTTTTGTCTTACGCTGTGTGGGTAACTTATAGGCTTTGGAAAAAAACATTGACTGCGGCGTTAAGCAGTATTCATTCTCTCACTATCTTTACACATTCTCCGCACGAATATCATTTCCATTCTATAATTAGGTCTCCGGTGATCGGTAAACCACGTACTACAACTGATAGAATGAAAGCCAGTAAAGGTGCATAGAGAAATACGTATTTCCAAATCGTGACGTGATGAAGGCACCGAAATAATGCGTTACAGATGTTGGCATATGATCGCTTCGCTGTTTACGGACATGTTCAAGTGTTATCGTCTGAGTGTTTCCAATATAATTTAAATAAATAATTTCCGTCTGTGAAATATCTAATTTATTTGTGGGATGTGTTTCCAGTTGTGTAAATATCCTTTTTTGAGTTTAAAACGATTCATGTGCTGATAACCGTTTTGTGTATAAATATCGTTTGAGAAATAACTACTTTGTTTTTTGAAAAATTAAATAAATCTTCCTGTCTTGGAGCGTGAAATGACGTCATATCGTGTGTTCTACTCGCAGAGAAGCTAACATGGTTTAAAATAATTTCAACTTTTATGACTCTGGCAAATTTAGACTTTCCAAAAAGATTAGGGCCGGTTCCTCAAAGCCGTAGTAGCTAAGACTTACAGAACCTTCAGTGCTAAGATCTCGATCTTGAAGTACAGGGCCTAGATTTTCGAAGCTCTTTTAGCGCTAAGATAGTCGTAAGTTAATGTTAATGTATGGCACTTACGACTGTCTTAGCGCTAAGAGAGCTTCGAAAATCTAGGCCCTGGTTCAGACTGGGGTCGGGTTAAAGTTGATAGGTTGCATTAGTTTGTTATTCAATATCATTTGTGTATTTGATATATACATCAGTAGTTTGTACGTAGATGAGATGCATAACCAGTAAAGCGGTTTAGGTGAGTGAGTGAGTTTAGTTTTACACCGTACTCAGCAATAGTCCAGCTATATGGTGCGGTCTGTAAATAAGTCGAGTCTGGACCAGACAATTCAGTGATCAACAGCATGAGCATCGATCTACGCAATTGGGAACAGATGACATGTGTCATCCAAGTCAGCAAGCCTGACCACCCGATCCCGTTAATCGCCTTTTACGTCATGAATCACTGAAGGTCAATTCTAACCCGTATCTTCTCGGGTCTAAGTAAGGCGGTTTAAACCTTTACGAACTACGTATGTGACGTATAAAATATAAATAAAGGTGAACAACTATTTTAAAAAGTGATGATATCATGTGCTCGTGAAAAGGGGAGCGTATCCTGCTCCACCGGTGCTACCCGTAGTAAATACATGCAGAGGCATGTCACTCGTTCATTTGAAAAATACACGAAAACCGATAGAAGTCAAAATAGGGAATTGCATCGGGCATCTTTTTTGTGACTGATGCGTTAAATTTGGAAATGACCTCTACTTATATACCAGAAAACCTTTTGTATTCACTTATAGTAAGTAAGGAATTGATATACTCCACTTATGGACCATGGACCATACACCACTTATTTCAAAATGAAATCTCCTTAACACGATACCTTCGGAGTTTCGAATAGATGTCGAGTTACCTGAAGCTCTAGACAATAAGAGTGCAGATATTTTTGCACCTGTGGGGAATCGAACTTGGGTTTTTCGTTTGGATGAGCAAACGCTCTAACCACAAGACTACCCCACCGCCCCTTATTCGATCTGGACTACAGGGATGCATATATGGCAATAGCGTCCCAATTTATTTATCGTATGACACCACACTCGAGAATATGTCATCTATATGACGGCGGTCAGTAAATAATCGTGTCTGGACCAGACAATCCAGTGATTGACATCATGAACATCGATCGAGCATACGAACACATGTGTCAGCGAAGTCAGCGATCCCGTTAGTCGCCTATTACGACGCGCATGGATTTTTGAAGATCAATTAAGCCCGGATCTTCATGGGTCTTTTGTCGGTAAAGAGTAAGGCATGTATCATACATTTGATGAGATGATAAATTGGACCAATATTAATTACGCCATACTGACAGACAATACACGTAAACATCGAATATTGGTATTCGATGAGAGCAGGTCGCTGAAGCACCCAAGTGATTTACCTTTAGTTTGTTGAGCAACAGTCCCCTACAAAGGTACAATATGTGATGACAATTACTGAAGTCCACATTGTGATTTGCCTGAAATATTGCCAAAGTAGCGTAAAACCAAACACATTGGATCCATCACAAAAAAACGGGGATACGAGCAGTCACGTGATATGACGATATTGAGTACTGGTGTTTCTTCACGGCGTTTTTACAACCCTACTTCCGAGATCCTTACACCATCATGACCCGTGACCCGCGGAACCCGGGTAACCTAAAACCCCGATTGGCCTTCTCTTACTGGGAATCACAAAGCTCGCCTCCATATCTCCACTGAAGAGAAGTGATGTAAAAACGATGCTAACATCCTTATTACTCATTAAATCAAAGATATGTAAATAGTTAATGTTACAGATATTTATTCATGAGATGATATGTTTTTATGTAAATGTTATTACAGCTGTATGTTTGATATGACATGATTCGATATAACGTTTATGTATACAGTATCATCTAGGTCCTACATACGATATATGTAAACAGTTAGCACTGAAATCACAAATCTCGCATATGGCTTTAATCCATCTAGATACCTGTACATACAGACACGACATGCAGATGTATATCTGCAGATGTAACTTCCTTTGTGTAAATAGCAGTATGTGGCGAGGTACGTTTATTCAGAATCAAGTTTAACGAGGGCTGGGGTTTTGGGGGTGTATGTTGAGGGGTGGGGTTAACTGATATTTTCTTGTAAAGATATCAAGAGAAAAATAAAGCAATATTTGGTACTGGGGATACAATATAACACAACTCACCACATCATATCGGGACACCTAAACACAATCCATGCACTAGACAACACAACTCACCACATCATATCGAGACACCTAAACACAATCCATGCACTAGACAACACAACTCACTCCATCATATCGAGACACCTAAACACAATCCATGCAATAGACAACACAACTCACTACATCACATCGAGACCCAACAACACAATCCATGCACTAGACAACACAACTCACTACATCATATAGAGACACCTAAACACAATCCATGCACTGGACAGAGCGATGCACTACTTCACATTGAGAGACCACAACACAATCCATGCACTGAACAACACGATGCACTACTTCACATTGAGACACCACAACACAATCCATGCACTGGACAACACGATGCACTACTTGACATAGAGACACCACAACACAATCCATGCACTAGACAACACGATGCACTACTTCACATTGAGACACCACAACAAAGCCAAAGCACTGAATAACACAACACACTACATCACATCGAGACACCACAGCACAATCCATGCACTGAACAACACAACTCACTACATCATATCGAGACACCACAACACAATCCATGCACTGAACAACGTGACACACTGCTTCACATTGAGACACCACTACACAATCCATGCACCAGACAACACAACTCACTGCATCATATCGAGACACCACAACACAATCCATGCACTGGGCAACACGATGCACTACTTCACATTGAGACACCACAACACAATCCATGCACTGAACAACACGATGCACTACTTCACATCGAGACACCACAACACAATCCATGAACTAGAGAACACAACTCACTACATTATACCGAGACACCACAACACAATCCATGCACTAGACAACACAACTCACTACATTATATCGAGACACCACAACACAATCCATGCACTAGACAACACAACTCACTACATCATATCGAGACCCAACAACACAATCCATGCACTAGACAACACAATTTACTACTTCACATTGAGACACCACAACAAAGCCAAAGCACTGAATAGCACGACACACTACATCATATCGATACACAACAACACAATCCGTGCACTGGACAACACAACTCACTATATTATATCGAGACACCACAACACAATCCATGCACTAGACAACACAACTCACTACATTATATCGAGACACCACAACACAATCCATGCACTAGACAACACAACTCACTACATCATATCGAGACCCAACAACACAATCCATGCACTAGACAACACAACGCACTACATCACATGGAGACACCACAACACAATCCATGCACTGAACAAAACGATGCACTACTTCACATCGAGACACCACAACACAATCCATGAACTAGACAACACATCTCACTACATCACATCGAGACAACACAACACAATTCCTGTAAGCACACCATATGTTTACACCACGGCAACTGACGCATATGCCAGCCTACGGCTACAGATGTCCCCTACATGCGGCCATCAAGTACATAACGGCCAGTAATTCTATTCAGTTAGAAGGTCAGCTACTGATGTAAAGTTATTCAGCTGCATCTGATTATGTATCTTGTCCCTGAGTCATCTATGTAACATTTTCAAGTGGTGACACTACACAAGCGAGACACCCTTCAGCACACGTAGAAAAGAATACGAGCTTTATACGATTACACTGGCGGAAAGGATATTAACAGTTGATGTCTACTGAATCAGTTGATGTTGTAAGGCACTTGAAACAGCCGTGTTGAGGTATGTGTGTCTACTGTGTTGGTGGCCAATATGTGCTTACTTTAGGCACTAATCTTTCTTTAGAACACTTTTTTTCTGTGTAGATGGCGACGAAATTCGACTCATACAGATTCGTGTTATGATGAGTGTTATCTTTGTACACGTAAGTCACTGGTGTCTCTTGTAGCTGAAATAGTGTTGATTGTGGCGTCACACAACAAGCAAAGCAATAAGGGATATGTTCATTGTCTACCAGGTTAGCTACAGTAGCCATATCGGAAGTCTGAAAACTATTCCAGTCGCTTGTTACCCGCGTCGACAAATCCCAATGCCTCATGGCACTGACAGAGTTAGGAGGAAGGATATGCTTTTCAAGGACTAGTTTCAAAGCCAGGAATTGTCGCCTTCATAAAATAAGCCCTTGGTAAGAAGTAGGGTCGAAGGTCAGAACCTTGTCTCATTACTTCAGCTTGCAAACGGCCTAAATGAGCAATTTGAAATGAAGCATGTGCAATATTAGGAATACGAGCATATTTAATTCGCACCAGATGTTGACTAAATAAACTTGATCATGTTTTTGCGAGACGCGTTAAGACACCGTGGGGCGGTTTGGAAGTTTGGGCTTGAGGCATTCCACTTTGTGAGTACTGTATGCGACCTTTTCCAGTTTCTTACTTATTGCAATGTATACCTTATGTAAGATTGGGAATAACTTATTGCTGCCATAACTGTGATATTCATTCACTTTTATTCTGAAATAGAAATGTACGTGTTCTTATGTACTAATTGTTGAAGCCCATTCCTTGTGTCTCTCGGCGTGATATTGCTGAAATTTTGCTAAAACCATACTCACTTGTAGTGTTCTTAAAATGTTTAAGATATTGGTATGACGTTACAAAAGACCATGTTTAATTTCTACGTATATGTATGTCATTATTATAGGTTTAATATACCCTTTCCTTACAAGCATTGTCATTAGGTAACGGTATAGTGCTTCTTTATCTTAAAATGTATGTCATTATTATAGGTCTAATATACCCTTACCTTACAAGTATTGTCATCAGGTAAAGGCATAGTGCATCTTTATCTTAAAATGTATGCCATTATTATAGGTCTAATATACCCTTACCTTACAAGTATTGTCATCAGGTAAAGGCATAGTGCATCTTTATCTTAAAATGCATGTCATTATTATAGGTCTAATATACCCTTACCTTACAAGTATTGTCATCAGGTAAAGGTATAGTGCTTCTTTATCTTAAAATGTATGCCATTATTATAGGTCTAATATACCCTTACCTTACAAGTATTGTCATCAGGTAAAGGTATAGTGCTTCTTTATCTTAAAATGTATGCCATTATTATAGGTTTAATATACCCTTTCCTTACAAGCATTGTCATTAGGTAACGGTATAGTGCTTCTTTATCTTAAAATGTATGTCATTATTATAGGTCTAATATACCCTTACCTTACAAGTATTGTCATCAGGTAAAGGTATAGTGCTTCTTTATCTTAAAATGTATGCCATTATTATAGGTCTAATATACCCTTACCTTACAAGTATTGTCATCAGGTAAAGGTATAGTTCTTCTTTATCTTAAAATGAATGACGTTATTTAAGGTCTGACGTTACAAAAGGCCATGTTTAATTTCTACGTATATGTATGTCATTATTATAGGTCTAATATACCCTATGACAAGATGGATACAAGAATAAACATAGTTTGTCTCACGGTCCCTGAGCCCAATTACTTTCACATTATTGCACTCTCTGCAATGCTAAAGCCCTAAATGAAGCAAGTCTAGAGTTGTTAGTCTAGAATAAACAGAATACCTCTAGTATTTATATCGGTGTGTATGTGGTGCGTGTGTGTGTGTGTGTGTGGGGAAATGAAAGGTATGTGTAAGTGGGTATGAACGATGTCGTATGCCTTTGTGGTATATGTACTTTGTTATCAGAGATGTCATTTCCCATCGGTTATTTGAATATTATTTAAAAGCTCCCTATACCATATAATTGTATGTATATCGCCAGCACGACACCACATGTTCATAGCTGGAGTGTGCATGTTGTTGCTGCAATATATAGTTAACATCTCTTCTTCAGTTCAGTAGTCCTACATAGGTAGATTGACATATACAGTCAACTCTGGTTATAACGAACACGGTTACAGTGGATATAACGAACCAGATGTGACGATGTTTGTCTTGGCTAATTGCTGTACATGTTTAGTCGATATGCTTACAACGAACAATGGTTATAACGAACTAAAATTTGCGGTACCTATGGTTCGTTATAACCGTATCAGGCGTGTATTTATTGCTGTAAGATATATGTTTCTGGTATATGTATCTCAACGGTAATACGTGGAAAGGAACAGTCCATTTCTTCGCGATATTTATGTGTTAAGAGTTGGAATCTGCGTTCTGCGTTCTGCGTCCAAAACAATGCACCGATCTACAAACTCAAAATTGCATCTCGAATGATTGGTTTGAAGTTTCGCGAATGGTCACAGAGAAAGTACTCTTGTCCTGACAAGAATAACCTCACACACTCCAATGTCATCGAACGCTTGAATGTGTGTGAATGCATATACAAGAGTGCCAACAGGATGTTATTCAGTCTTCTCAATAGACATTCGATAAGAATAAAGTTTCATTGCAGTTTGAATACTTGATTTCTTTTTATACCTTTGCGAGTGCTGACTTGAGTCGCTGCACGTCTCATTAATGACAGGTGAGCATACGTGTGAATAGAGGATGATGCAAGGCTCATGCAAAGTGAAGCAATCGTTGTAATTTAAATACCACACAACGTGGCCCGCATTACATCGATCTATCATTTCACTCTAGGAGTTCAGGTACACCTTTTTTCCATTTTCACACTCTTACGTATTTGGGTTTTTTAGTTGTATTTTTTCACCATGTTATAATCTGCTTGGATGCACTTTGCGGCTCATTGCCAGTTGAGAAATAGATGTGGCTTTTATTTTGGTGTTACGGTTCAAAACATACATTAAATTTGCTCAGACATTCTCAGGAGCGAACTCGACACAGTTAATTGAGAAGAGTAGGTATGTTTGGTTGTTTAGCGCGTCCTGTTTGTTAAAGGTATGTACGTTTTACGTGAACGGGTATGGTTTTCCGCCAACCTACGGCACAAACTCAGCAATCCTAGTTTAACGTGTTAAGGGAGAGAGCGGGGAGATCTCAATGGATGAGTATGCTGGCTTACATGACATGCACGATCCAAAGGAATGTCGGAAGCGCGTAGCCGGCGATTATGCCTCAATTCTCGAGTTACACTAAGTCCTCAATGCGCGTATAAAAGACACGGATTCTCTCCAGGAACATATTGTGTTATAAGGTGGCATACCAACAGCCAAGGAGGACATAGGTCTATTGAACTGGAGTTGGACAATCGCGACATGTGTTCGAAGTGTCTGTGTGATTCCTGGCAACGGGTCATGACATCATCTGCGTGTTTGTCTGAAAGACGTGCCAGCTGGGATGTCGTGTGATTGTCTATTTCCGACAATCCGACGAGGCCACACGCTTTGGTAGTCTTCAATATATAGAACGGTGGCCACGTGGCTGAGCCTAACCTGTACTAAGGACCAATGACTGTCCTCATCATCTGAATATGAACTTGAGGATAATATGACATCCGTTAATAGCTGTGAACCCAGGAGTGTCGACTCGCTGTAACATATTCTCGCCTGAAGGTAGTTATCAACTTTACGAGATTGTTATTCAAATTTATTATCTCACGTACAAGCCGATGGCCTCGTGTTCTTATATTGTGGCTAGATTTAGATCAAAAGGCATTTTTGTTTCGTTCAACTCATGTTTAGTATGACAATTAAAGTTGTTGTATGTCGGTTTGTGTGTTAAATCACAAAGGTAGCCTACTTAGCGTTCCCTTATTGTCGAGGATGTATTCATGGCTTTTTGTATCTTAATGAGTGCAGTTCTGCAGGACCTGACTTCCGTGTTTAATAATGCTAGTTCTTTTAACAAGGAGGCGATGTTGATAAAGAAGCTATCAAGTACTGCGGCGGTTATTAGGGACGGTTAATAACTCCTCAGAGCTTCACACAGTGTGTCCCAGCCGACAGCCCCATTGAAGAGATAAACTCAATTTTAAATATCGTCAGCTTCGAGAAAATGTTTCTACTATCTTATGCAAGGTCTTCCTGTGGAGGTTGAGACGCCGATTCTTGTGTTGGAAATGTGTTTCATCATGTGTTCCCTTTTCTTACAGTGTTCACTGGTCAACTGGTCAACCGGAACCGGATACTGGTCAAACGGAAGTGGAATTACCGGAAGTTAAAAGTAAAAAGGCAAATTGTGGACGGGTTTGCTGTCCTAAATGCGGGGCCAGAGGACATTGGAATAAGTCCAAAATGATGCGAGTGACGGGTCAATGTATTTTGTTTCTAATAATAGCTTCCTGTGGTGGTTTGATCATAAACAACAATTTCGGTTCGAGCGAACACGCACCAGGAATAGTGGATATAGTTGAGGCAACACAATTAAAAGTAAGTATATCTTACTATTACCTTACTGAAAACAACGCCCTTTTTTGGAATTAATTAACTGTCGTTGAATTGAGTTTAAATAGTTGATGGTTTGATAGTGTTTGTAGTTTGTTGTTTTATACAGTAATACATCGTTGGTCTGGATCTCGTCGATCCGGATTATATTTTATATATATTTTGTTTTCTTACAATGAATTCTCAAGAGCCCTGATCCTGTTGGTACCGACGTTTCCTGACAATGTTGCTGTGTACAACAAGCAGAACATTACCCATCCTCAATTTCGTTTCTCGGAATGCTTTGATTGGATTGAAAAGGTCTCATGCTTCATGAATTTATATAATTGGTACCTTCTCTATATTTGTGAATAAAACGTGGCAACTGGTACGATCTAATAATTTGTGTAATGTCATATGATGCTAAACCTTGGCTCATAAAAGTAGTGTTTATAAACATCAAACAATTACAAATGACTAAGTCAATATACCATATGTAAACATAAAATCGATATTTATCATGATTTCCACGTGTAATGGTTAAATACCACGCCACATGTTTAATGGTTGAGTATCGTGTATCCATAAGTGAGTCTTTTTACAAAGCATTAAGCAGAAATTGATAGCGATCGAATCTCAGGTTTTTCAGTGTTCTGAATACAAATAAAGGTTTTCATGTAGAAATTGTTAAAATTACTTTTTTGTAATATGCGATGGAAGTATTCTTATGATAATGGTTAGCTATTTCTGCGGATTATAGTGATTGGCAGTGCACGGATGTTTTAAAAAAACAAATGATCATCTATTCAGTGTTTCAAATGCATCTACGCAAACGTTTGTTTTTAGTGGTCCGTAGTGTGATTTCTCTAACCCCTTCACACAACAAAAGCTCCTGCGTCCAAGAACGCAGGAATGTGCCTCCGTCTTATCTTGGAAACAGACAGGTGGTAAAGTTCGTTTTTGATTTTGTTTTGATAGGTTTCCATGACAGCGGATGGGATTATCATTTCAGTTTAGTTAGTCATCCTGACTGATTAGCTTTCTTTTATCAAGATGGCGTTTCTGCAACCATGTTTGAACATGCGCAGGACTTTGATCAACATTTTTGTTTCCGGTTTTTTATGGAAGTGATAGAAGCTTAGCCTGAGACGTTCCCGATTCATGATGTTGACGTAGTTCGTGTTATTGATGTTGACGTTGAACATAAATAGTTGGTTTTACCAGAAAAAGGTTTAATTAGAGGTGTAACATATATTTTAATAATGAAATATAGTTAATATGATTAAATTGCCAACATCTCACTTAATAGAAAGTTGGTATTGTTTCATACACTGTCCAGTTCTGAATTATGTGAATGTGAAAGGCTCCCCCTTTCATTGTGATAGATTTCAAGTTGCCAAAGGGACACGAGCATGTACCTTTATTTGGGACACACCTAGGTACAAACTTTTAACACACCCTTTTAAAACAGGTTGCTTTGTGTCATTCAAAAAACGACATATGAATGACATGGACACTCCCTAATGATCGATCTAATCCTTATATAAATACCTTGTAAATTGAATGGGTGGTTTTCTGTCCTCCTTTCATGAACGAATATCACCTACAATATGTTTAAATATCACTCCCTGTCGAGAAGGACATGTTTACCTGTCGTCTCGGGCGCGGTGCAGGCCACACCTCCAGATAGCGACATTTCTATTCACCCATTGTAGCTGACGAACTATTCGCAATAGCGTGGCTGATCGAGGCTGACACGCTGAATATGTAGGTGCCTGCTTGATTTTATTCGTTTTAAATATACCATGTAGGGAGTGAGTTTAGTTTTACGCCGCGTTTAGCCATATTCCCGCGGGGGACACCAGAAATGGGCTTCACACATTGCACCCATGCGGGGAATCGAACCAGGGTCTTCATCGAACGCTTTAACCACTAGACTACCCCACCACCCCTATATTCCATGTAAGAAAATAATACATGTTTATATTATATATCTCAGATATGTTTCATATCTAGTTAACAGGCAGGTACATGAGTGTTCCATTAAATGGAATTGTTATCGTCGAAAAATGAATGTCCGGGTTTGATATGCTGCAACAATACGTCTCCCCTCTGCATATACGATTGTATATGGTGCAACAATACGTCTCCCCTCTGTATATACGATTGTATATGCTGCAACAATACGTCTCCCCTCTGTATATACCATTATATATGGTGCAAACATATACACATTGTTAATGTACATGAACTTACACGTAGGAAACAAATTTATATTGACATTATGTTGTAATATTTACGTCATGCAAAAGATGTTGACCTTGCACTGTTATGCCGAAATTTTGAATTTAATAATGTCGGATTTAATAATGACGGATTTAATAATGGGCTGTCTACGCTGTTTACAAATAGTTCCCGACTAGGAAATCAAGATACAGTTAAAATGTCAGAGGTATAGGAAAGCGGTATCCACGCTCTGATGTGATGACAGTAGTCTATATATTGCCTTGTTGTGGTCCACAATGTACGGAATGTAACCACACGCAAAAGTGGAATGGCCATGCAAAACCCGCTCATACTGTTCACTGTCCCGCTAGCCTAATGCTTCTTAATGATGCAGGGGCCTATTTGAGCTTACTACGGACAGTGATAAATATATAATTAATAAATTAATTGGTATTGGTATTGATACCGACGTTTTCACACTGCCCATCTTATCTGTATTTGTGTTTCCTCTTGTCGCTGGTCAAAGTTGCTATTGCTCTTCAATCATAAAACACATCGAATTCAAACCTTCTCACTGAATGAATGAATGAGTTTAGCTTTACGTCGCACACTACAATAGTCTAGCTATATGGCGGCGGTCTGTAACTAATCGAGTCTGGACCAGACAATCTAGTGATTAACAGCATGAGCATCGATCTATGCAATTGGGATACGATGTTAGTCGCCTCTTACGACAAGCATGGGTTACTGAAGATCAATTCTAACCCGGATCTTCACGGGTCCATCTCACTGAAGGTTTCACTAGCAATGTCTGAATATGTCACTGTTAGGCTACACATGCCATACGTAGAAAAGTAAGAGTAAACAGGGACGTTGTTCCCCAACGTAAAAGAATTTGCAGTTGGGTGCGTGTCAAGTTGTAATACATTCCTGTAGCACGTTTCAAGGTTACGCGAAGAAGTTTTATTGCAGGGCCTCGTTAGCCACAGGTAAAATATTGAAAACGCAAAGCCTGCTGAGACTATTTACGCATTCCAGAAACTAAATAACATCCTGAAAGTACGTTCAACGGCGGATTCGTAATAACAAAGAAACGGTAACCTAAGGCCAAGTATTCCCTTACTTTTCTAATCAAATAATGACGTTGTACCTCTCTGCTATTTTTTACACATTCTATTTAGCGAAGCATCTATACCAAGGTAAACCGCTGTATTTATAGCACATCAATATACCGATTATAGGGCGTCCCAAGACCAAACCTGCCAGTTGTTCCACAAGTAAATTCAGCTTCGAATTCTGGCGAGAGTAAACACTGAATTAGCCTCAGTGATCCGAAAATACCTGTGTGCGGGGGCGGGGGGTGTTTCCTGTAACTCATGAAGACAGTTGGTTGAACTATAAACTTAGTATACTATGTAACGCTGCAAGTTAGAGTGCACATTGATGCTAGGAGGAAATATCCTTTGCTCTAAGATAGGGCCACGGAAGGCTCTCCTTATCACTTAGTAATTATTGATATTGCTGATAATCGAGTAATAAGCACAGTTATGAACCAGGAAGTACCATGAATAAAGACTGATATAGGGGTTGATAAGTTGAAATATATTTGGCAAATTAATAAATTGGGAAACAAATTGGAACATTAAGTTTTATGACTTAAATGTTAAGGACTAATTCCGCTTGAGTCTTGCTCTTTACGTGGTCATATCTGAAATTTTTATTAATTTGCACCTTTGGTTCTGTGGCCACAACACATGTAATTCTATTTTGAGACATTTTGTTTGCTTATTTCTTTGATTGTTTTGTTGTTGTTGTTGTTGTTTAGTGACCTGAAGAACAACATTTGTTGTCTGACGGACAAAGTATACACCTGCATTTCTAGGACATGCAAATTTTTAAGAATGCATCTTCAAAATTACTCTCTTTATGCTCATGATCCTCATAAACATAAGTAATATATTTCTATTTGTATGACGATTATCGCTGTGCTTGAAGTCTTTCTTTTCATACCAAAAGAAGTGATGTGTCAATTATAATGTAAAACGTCACCGACACAGAATTACCTGTCTCCAATATTCTATTGTGGGATTCCTCTGGACGTAAAAGGCAAAATAGAGGTTGGATTGACAGCACAACCCCAGCCTAATAGACGTAGTGGTGTACACCTTTAACTGTTCAACAGTCACATTTGTTTGCTGGTTTGCACGGACATTGTATCCGTGGTTATGTAATTATAATGTGTGAGATGCTCGAGGAACAAAAACCCGAAACAGCCCTACACAGCTAAACTTACAATGTGCCCTGAAAAGAGATTTTCGTTGTAAATGAACTTTATTTTACCACCAGAGGGAGATAAGATATGCGTGTTGCTATAGGAACACACGTGAAACAGACAGTAAGGCAGACTTCACGATAATACTTGACTAAACGTTTACTTTCAGTATTTCCCTCTGCGGACGAGGCACCGAGCCATCAAATAAGAATCCTGCCTGGGGTACCTAGATGAAGATAGGCAATTGAATTTCGTATAACTTGGTTCAACAGAGACATGTGCAGGAAACACCGATTACTGACTCCGAATACAGCCTACCTCAATATCAGCACTACTCTGATAATGGACTTTTAAGCGCAGTTCCACATTTCTGCTGCCTGTGGTGCGATGCAGAACTGCGCATTTCATTTAAAATTTAAAACCTAAAGATTCCCATGTCAAGTAAAAGTCCAACAATCAGCATTGCTTTTCATAATATCAAGTCGAGCTCGGCTGTATCATGTAGAAA